CCACACAACACAGGAGTCCTGCCACCTGGCTGTCTATTTGAATTCCTTTATCACAGTATTCCATAATTACCCATTCACCTGCCTCTTTCCACATTTGACTGTAAACCCCCCCACCCCCAATCCTGCGTCGGATCACCGTGGTCTTTTCAGCCCTTAGCTAAGTTCATGGCATTTGAAGCACCCAGTAAATGTTTCCTGAAGGAGTCAGAGACGGAACTAATTAATCCCATTTGTTCTTTATCCAAACGGTGTGACCTTGGGAAAGTTATATAACCCGTCTATAACTTTGCTTCCTTGTAAATTGGGTTAGTAACACCTGTTTGTAAAGCTCAGTAAGATAATGTTCCTTTTCATGTAAATGCTGGGTTGGGGAGTGAATATGAGGGGAGACCCATGTTACATGAGGAACAAGACCCACAATAATGATAATATTAGTAAAAGCTACAATTTTTCAATTGCTGTCACATACTAAGTGTTTCAGACCATTATATCATTAAACACTCCCAACTCTTTGAGGAAGGGATTGTTGTACCCATCATACAGGTAACACAGCTGAGTCCGAGGAAGTGATGTACCAGCCAACTGGCAGAGCTGGGGTTCACAGCGTGCCTTAGAGGCTAAGCACTGCTATTTGGGTACCATCTCAGGGGCCAGCTGGCCGCAGGCTCCACAGCGGCGTCAGGCAGCAGCCCTGGTCCTGGCTGTCCTCGGGTCACACTTGCCCTGAAGAAGCTGGCAGAGAGCAGGCACAGCAGGTGCTACAAAGACCAGAGGAGGAGAGGGGAAGTGCGATTCGGCTTGCGGAAGTACAAGCCCAGCTGGCCACCGGGCACCGACCCTCAGTGAGGGCAGAGGGCAGGAGGGAGGAAGGCGAGCTGGGAGGCAGAGAGCAGGGCGTGGGCCGCCGGACTAACCGGAGATGCTGTGTGTAAGGTGACGAGGCGCTGCCAGGCCCAGGCTATGCTGGGCAGCACTCCCTGGAGCACACAGAGGTCCCTCTCTCTCCTTCGTGTTCACAGAGGCGAGTCCATGACACAGGGCCGCTTACATGCGTGCCTGTGTGTGCGCGCGCACACACACACACACACTTTGATACTGAGCCCCATCTAACTTTCTTCTCCAAGTTTTGTCTCTGTATTTCCTAAGGCCTCTGAGAGCAGCTGTGTTTCTAGACAGTGGGGTGCAGGTCAGATCAGAGAGGAATTGAATAAAGTAGTCCCCCTGATGAGCCAGTTCTTTAGCTAGAAGCTCTGGGCCTTCTAGTCCAGCGATGTTCAACTGGCATGCTGCAAGAATGTTAGTAATTAGTGCATGCATGCCACGAGGTGAAAAGGGTTGAAAAATCACCCGTGTTAGTCCATCCAGAAGAAATGTCACTTAGTGGGTAAAGGTAGGAGCCTGGGTTTACATTTGTCACAACCTTTTAGTGAAATTAATTACCCCGTGATACTGAATCTGTTTCCTCCACTGTGAGGGGGGAATAGTAATAGCACCTACCTCGCGAGGCTGAGGAGAGCGTTAAACAGACAAGGGCTGCTTCTGTGTGAAGCTGTTCCGTGGCTAAGTGGACATCATTATTCTCTCTAAAGCTGCCAGGGGTCAATGGTGGTGCATTCACAACTTGTCTGGAGGCTTTTTATTTGGTTGCTTTTGGATTTTGATGAGCCAGGCTTTGCAAAAAATTGACAGATTGGAAAAAAAAAAGCTAGTGCCAGGGCTTTAATAAAATGACCCCAACCTTCGGGAAGCTGGTGAAATGGGTTGATAGAGCCTTATCTCTGGGCACCTCTGGGACACTTCTGCACCTGGCCCGGCAAGGGGTCCTCACATGTGGCCACCTTGGCAGGCCAGGCTTGGCGGGATTCTGCCATCCCCAAACCTTGCTGCCTGCGATGCCTCCTACAGCTTGGAAGTGGTACTCAAACTGACATAGCTCTCTCTCCCAGCAGGCGACCAAGGCTGTGGACCTGCTCATGGCAAGTGAGGAGGAAGTAGGGTGTGGTCCCTGAGGGTTCCTTCTTCTATTCCTCTATCTGGGGGACTAGTACAGTGCCTGCTGAAAGCCCAAGGGCAGGACGGACACTCTCAGATGGCTGATTCCAACAGGGGAAGGGGTGGTCTCCAACCTTCCAGCTAGAAGGCCCTTTAGAGTCATCTAGTCCAGCCTCGCAAAGGCTCGACATCCAGCTTTACTTCTCTGCAATCTCTGGACCTTGAGAAAGAAGATACCTACAGAAAAGGGCTCCTAGTGGCTAACTGGGCTCAAATTTTATTTTCATTTTTGTAAATATTTGTATTGATTTCAGAGCGGAGAGGGGAGAGAGAGAGAGAGAGAGAGAGAGAGAGAGAGAGAGAGAGAGAGAGAGAAAGAAACATCAATGATGAGAGTCACTGATAGGCTGCCTCCTGCACGTCCCCCACTGGGATTTGAGCCATAGCCCGGATATGTGCCCTGACCATGACCTCCTCAACCATTGTCAACCATGGTTGACCATGCTCAACCATTGAGCCAGGCCAGCTGGGCCAACTGGGCCCAAATTTAAAAGCAGAGCCTAGCGGCCATGTCTAAACAGGGGCGTCTCCTGCAAACTGCACTTCAGGGAGAAGCCTGCACTGAACTGCCTGCCTCCCCCGTGTTCCTTCCGTCTGAACCAAACCTTACAAAGGAGTTCCTGGAACAGTATTTCAATCAGTAGGACTAAGGCTTTCCGCTCAGTTGGAGCTGCATAGCTATATCCCGTCCATCAGCATCTTCACTGACCAACCAGGACAATGCTTTTTGGACCAATCAAACGTCAAGGATCTGGAGTCCTCATTTGCATGAGGATGAACCAATCAGAGACGAGGGGCGGGGACTTCTGTCAGTATGTCACTTCCCTTCTGGCTCAGAGACTGAGTGTCCCCCCTCCACCCCCCCCCCCCCCCCTTTGCTGGAGCCTCCACACCAGATACCAGAGCAGAGCTGTCAAACCAGAGTGACCTGGCCGCTGGCCACCTGGCCCCAGGGCTGCCTCACAGCCAAGCTGTGCAGCTTCATAATGGAGCTGTCATCCCTGAGCTGTTCCACAGCCACACTGGATCACAGTTGAAACTGTTTGCACTGAATAAAGGTTCCCTCTTCACCGCACCCCAAACTGGGCACTCCTGCTGACATTGAACTGGGACCAAAGACCACCGGTTGACAAATCTGTGTGTGATGGGCAAGCCCACCCAACACCCCCAGGACCTCTTAGCTCACATTCTCCGCCTCACGGTCCTGGATGAAGAGGACATGTGCAGGAATGTGCAAGCGAGAAGCCACCAGGAGCTCCTTTCTCATTCAAGCCCAAACAAGGAAAATCTGAGAAAGGCACGTCCTTTGCCGTTATCTGCCATCAGAAGAACTGACTAAGCAAAACTATGAACAGGCCAAGAATGAGCTTCCTCCTGATTTATGAACCCGATTTCGTTCTTGCTGTGTTTAATTGATTCAGCTAATAAAATGCTTTGGTTTTCCTTTATACCAAGTAGAGAAATTTCCCTATAAAAGTGTCCCAAATGACTGTACTTTTGAGTTAAGTGTGACCCTCCTGGGCAATTTTTATGCATATTGGAATTTATATAGTGTTACAGCCCTTTTCGACGTGTTTATTGACAAGAATGATCAATGAATAGGATCTCCTGATAGAGAATGAGCGTAGAGCCTCTCCTCCCCTTACCCTTACCCTTACCCTTACCTGGCAGGCATGCTTAGAAGCTGACCTGGTACATCCTTCTTTGAGAACTTCTCTCCATTTAATTATCTGATGGAGATCCTGAAATGTTTTCCAAAGAAAGCAGTAGGGAAAGACAGAGTTACCTGCTCAGATGTAAGGAGGTTTCTAGGTGCCCCACCATGCCAGTCAGGCGCAGTGCTCTCTGGCCTGGCACATGCCCTCATGAGCCGTGTCGTCTGAGGCAAGTCACACCACCTCCGTGGATATCAGCTTCCTTATTTCGGCAATAGGAATGTTCACGGCTGCCCTGCATGCCTATACATGGTGGTAGGGGTGACATGGCACAAGGTACAACAAAGGGCGTTGTAGAGGCAGCAAGCCATACACATGCAAGGGATAATTATTGTGCTGTTACGGCGGCCTGTGATTAACTGGCATTAGTCTGGAAAATTTTATTTCCCCAGGTAAAAACGTCTTTGTTTCCAAGTTAAAATGGTTAACTTCCCCTCCAGATGGGACTGGGCATTGATCTCCCCGTTCTCACTCACAATGGAACACTATCTCTCGGAGATCAGTCTAAATGTTACCTTTGTACCCTCTAGCACTAAAAATAGGTTTGGAGACATTATGTCCCTGGATTTGAAAATCATTACCCACAAAAGTCTTTTCCTCTTCAGTTCTGCAGAGCTGTTCTGGGCCCACACAGAGCCGGCCACGAGAGAGAGAGAGAGAGAGAGAGAGAGAGAGAGAGAGAGAGAGAGAGAAGAGGAGAGGAGAGGAGAGGAGAGGAGGAGGGGAGGGGAGGGGAGGGGAGGGGAGGGGAGGGGAGGGGAGGGGAGGGGAGGGGAGGGAGGGGAGGGGAGGGGAGGGGAGGGGAGGGGAGGGGAGGGGAGGGGAGGGGAGGGGAGGGGAGGGGAGGGGAGGGGAGGGGAGGGGAGGGGAAGAGAGACTCGCTCGTGTTTGAGGACTTCAGGTTTGGGGCTGGGAGCACTTCCCTCTACTGCTCAGTTTAGTCAGAGCCGTAAATCCTAAAGTTGGAAAGTGATCTGCACCAGACTCCTCATTTTAAGATAGCTCAAAATGTATTAAGGAAGTAACATAGGTATGCTGGCAGGTTAAGTTGTTACTTTTTTAAAAATTCAATTTTCTGATTTCCAGGCCAATGATCTTCCCATCACATCATTAATAATATGGTCAACTTCGACCACCACCACAACAGCTACTGTTTACTGAACAATGAGTATGTATTAGACGTTGCACTAAACTATAAATTTATTCATATATTCACTCATTTGTCTCCTGCAGAACCCAGTGTGGCCGATATTGCTCCTATTTTACAGATGAGGACAATGAAGCTCAGAAATATTAATTACTTGTCCAGCGTCTCGGTGCTGCTATGTATGTACATTGGCTCACAGTGCAGAGAAAGAAGGGGAATATGTCCGTGGTTGTTGCTGTTGTTAATGTATAACATTGTGTCTACATCTCTTAAAAAGTTAAAAATGAGCCCCAGCCAGTTTGGCTCAGTGGATAGAGCATCGGCCTGCAGACCAAAGGGTCCCAGGTTTGATTCCGGTCAAGGGCAAGTACCTCAGTTGCAGGCTCCTCCTCGGCCCAGGCCCTGGTCTGGGCTCGTGCAGGAGACAACCAATCGATGTTTCCTGTCTTCCCTCTCTCTCTCACTCGTCCTTAAAGTCAATGGAAAAATATCCTCAGGTGAGGATTAACAGAAAGTAAAAATTTTTTTAAAAAACCCACAAAACGTTAAAGATGAAAAATCATTCCTTACCCCAAATATCAAGGGCCCTAGAAAATATACTTGGAATTGAACCGTCACACAAAACTCACCCCGAAGCAGCCCGACTTTGTACGGACAGGGCTTACCTAGAAGCGAGGGAGTGGAGTTCCCATGTCCTTCCGCATGCCAAGCTTCTAGGGCTCAGACGCAAGGTGAGTCAGAATGTAAATGGCAGGCCTTTGGCCACAGTGAATAGACTCATTTCCCTAATTGCTCAGCAGCAAGACAGTGAGGCAACTACTTTATGCGCTAGGAAGGTTGAAAGCATTTCTCAGTCTCAATGTTGCTTTCAGAACAGTTAAACCAACCTCTGCTGCGCCTGCTGGGCTTTCATTCTGAAGATCCTATCCTTGGGCTTTTTCTCCTCTCGTCTTATGGGGCCGATGACCTGAGGCTCGCCAGGCCTACAGTAGTCAGTTGCCACAATAAGTTTGCCCCCTCCTTGACCTCATCAGTTTCCAACTTTTCTTAACAAGTATAATTCCTCTCCAAAGCCTCTCCACACTCTGGCACAAGTTAGAGAGCTTGAGTTTTAAAACTCTGAAAAGGATTTAATGATAACTCATTTTTCCAGAAATTCTGTCCTTTCTAAAATGCTAGCTTTACATTAACCAATACTATGAATGAAAGTCTGAAAAGCATCAGAATAAATTCCTGAAATTTCTCCAGTGCAAAATAAAAGCATAATAAGGGAGGGAGAAGAGCCATCCCAGAAATCAGCCCAGGTTCCTCAAGCCCAAATAGACACTGGGTAAAATTTGACAAGAATTTAAAAATATAGAAACAATCTCATGGTTGATTATTGACTGTTTTTGGAATGCAGTATATAATGTTCCTGGGAAAGAAAATCATGAAGGTCATTTAACAGGACATTTAAAGGCCGGTGTGTGGCTCAGTGGTTGAGCATCGACCTATGAACCAGGAGGTCACGGTGCGGTTGCAGGCTTGATCTCCAGTGGCAGGTGTGCAGGAGGCAGTTGATCAATGATTCTCTCTCATCACTGATGTTTCTCTCTTTCTCTCCCACTTCTATCCTCTTTAAATCAACAACAACAAAACATTTTTTTAAAGAGCAGAATGAGCTGTCATAAGTGGGGTCAACATCCTCGGTCCTGCCCACTCTGTCTCTTCCATTCATGTATCATGTGTTCACATATTTGTCCATGCCTAGCATTTCAACACTTAGGGACTTGAGTCCCTACTAAACTCTAAGCTCATGGAATCCAAAACTGAAACTTCCATGGTCTGTACCCTTGAGAAACACTGTGAATTGGTGAAAATAGACACCACATGAGTCACTATGACGAGCTGTAATACCTGCCACAATGGAGACAGGTACGAAATGGAATGAGGCTCAGGTTGCGAACCTTTGGGGAATCAGGAATGGATTTACCAAGGAGGTGACACTTGAGCTGAAGCTCAAATGCTAACTAGCGGTTAGCCAGCCAGGGAGAGAAAGGGGGAGGGACACTCCCAATGATGCCACCGATGCATGAAAAACCACGGTGAGTTTAGGGTGGTGGTGGGGAAGAGGCAGGGAGGCTGAACCAGTAGGCAGATTCTGGGGGCAGATTCTGAAGGATGGTCTCCACATCACCCAGCAGCCAGCCAGGCCGTCAACCAGAGCAAAACCTCTGGCCATTCGGCTCGGTCCTATTCTCAGCACATCTGCTGGCCTCTGTCTCAATCCCACTCACCTCCCAGGAGAGGGGCATGGGGAGGGGGAAGAGTTGTCTTATTCCAGGCCACGAATTAGGAATTATAGGTAACTGGGAACTGGAGGAGAGTATCAAGGGAGGACCTGGCCTGCTAGATATACACTGAGTGGCCAGATTATTATGACCACCCCATCAGTACAATGAAGTGAATTAGTTATGCAAATAGTAATAATAATAAAACCTTGAGAATATTTGCTTAGGAAGTTTTCAATATTCAGTATTTTTGGAAGTGTCAATGAAGTACTGATGGGGTGGTCATAATAATATGGCCGGTCATAATAATCTGGCAACTCAGTGTATATTAGAAAGAGAACTTGGCTAGAAATATCAAGGGTAAGTGGAAAGGAGGGAAGCCTGGAAGCAGACCAGTGAGGACTACAGGGTTATAGGTTATCCCAGTTTATTAGTCAGGGTTCTCCAGGAAATCAGAACCAAGAGGGTGTGTGCATATGTATGAACATATTTATTACGAGGAATTGGCTCACGTGCTTGTATAGACTGAGAAGTCAAGACCCAGGAGAGTTGGGGGTTTAGGTTCAGTTCAAGTCCAAAGGCGTAAGCACCAGGAGAGTCAATGAGGTAAGTTCCTGTCCAAGTCCCAGTCCAAAGGCAAGAGAAGACCCATGTTCCAGCTCAAAGATGGGCAGAGAGGGAAGTCTTCCAGCCTTTTATTCCAGCCAGGCCTTCCGTGGATTGAAGGCTGCTTTACTCAGCCTACTGACTCCAATGCTCATCTCATTCAGAAACACCCTCACAGACACACACCCAAGATAATGTTTAACCGCATATCTGGGCAGACAGGTTGGCACATTAAGTTAACCACCAACACCCCTAGTCACTGATTTTCGGGTCTCTCCACAGCCTTGCCCCCTGTCAGTTTCCAGAGTGATCTTCCCCTCAAGCCAGACTGGGTCTGCCACCGGCCTGCTTGGCGTCTCCTGCCACCTGCATGGTACGAGGTGAGCTTTCCAGCAGGGGCAGGCCCTTGCTGGGGAGGGGCCTCCTGGCCAGTCTCCACAGGCCCATCTCTCCCTCACCCTACAGCCCCGCCACACTACCCAGCTTCCTTCCGGAGTCTGCACTCGCCTTCCCCGGGATACTTTTAGCCTTGCATTCCTTTCCCTTCCCACTGCCCTGGCTAACTCCTAATTCATCGTCAAGACTCATTTTAGGCCATACTTTAGGCCATGTTTCAGAAAGCCTTTCCTGACTTTGCCTACCTCCTCCTCTGTTGTCACCCCAATAAGTTGAATAAGGAAGGAATAAAAGAAAGAAATTATCGAACAAACAAAAAGAGCACCCATCCATTCCAAAGCATCCTTTTTTATGCCCCTGTTTGGCAGTATTGCCCTCAGCATCCCAGACTGCATTCTGTACCTGGACAGATCTTCCTAAAAGAGCACCTCTGCTCAGCCCCTCCTGTGTCTAGACACCCCCGTGCTCCCCTCTTGTTGAATGCACTGATGAGGACAATCATGATGGTGATGACAGCAACTTACTATTTGCCAGGCCTGGGACAAACGTATACACCTTCAGGAACCGACTGAAAAGATCATGGAGGATCTTTTCATGGATCTTGTCAGAGCATTGTGATTATCATGGCTCTGTAGTACAATTTGAAGTCAGGTATACACCACATTTTCTAATGCAAATATTTTTTCTTTTTTTAAAATATATTTTTATTGATTTCAGAGAGGAAGAGAGAGGGAGAGATAGAAACATCAGTGATGAAAGAGAACCATTGATTGGCTGCCTCCTACACAACCCACACCGGGGGTCAAGCCCACAACCCGGGCATGTACCCTGACCGGGAATCGAATCGTGGCCCCCGGTTCATAGGTCGCTGCTCAACCACTGAGTTACGCCAGCCAGGCAATTTTTATTTCCTGAGGCAAAATTTATCTTAGCAGACATACCTCAGTGGCATGGACCACTCATTGGTATACGACAGCTCATGAGGGACACAAGCCTGAGGTAGATTTCCTCACCAGGAAACGTTTGCTGGAACAATCCTCATACTTCCTAGAGCATGTGAACTTACTGGCACTCGTCAGTAAGGCCATACTCTTTTCTGTGGGTTGAACATGTCTTTGTCTTCTTTGTGCTGTTTAAAAGCTCTCTAATCAAAGTTGGCTTGGTGCTTGGTCCTTCCTGCAAAAAGCCAGCTGGGGTGGAAGGTTCTACCAGGAGCAAGTTATAACACAGCCACTCGCCTTTCAACACGACCGCTGCAAAGTCTCTCCTGCGAGGAACCCAAGGCCTTAACTTTATGAATCATCAAAGCTTTCTCTGATACATGATGTAGAATAACCTTTCCTTTGCAGATGTCACCAAATGCCATGTGCATGGTGTGCAAGCAGAACAAAGGAGAGGCCTATTCTAAGCTGAGCCATTGCATAACTCTCTATAGAAGCTCTTGACCCATAAAATGCTCACCTGCTTTGTGGAGTTTAAATAAAGCAGAATGGTGCTCTTTTTTTAAAGATTTGCTTTATGGTTATCTTCCTGTCAGAATTCCAATTATTCTGTGGTTCAGTGGGAATGTGTCTAGCTGGTTTAAAATTCTTTTTTGGGGTAAGAATGTGAAAAAGATTTTTTTTGAAAAGCCTGTAATGGAAACATTTATATAATAACTAGAGGCCCGGTGCATGAAATTTGTGCAGGGGTGGGGGCAGTCCCTGATTGCCCCTAACCACTCTGCCTGCCTGATTGCCCCAACTGCTCACCTGCCTGCCTGATCACCCCTAACCGCCTCTGCCTCAGCCCCACCACCACAGCTTCGTCTGGAATGATGTTCGGAAAGTCATTTGGCTATCTGGTCTAATTTGCATATTACACTTTTATTATTATAGATGCTGAGCTGCCTCAAGTACCTTTTATTTCATTATTTGCAATACAGTGTTTTAAAAATAATGTTTTGAATCGAGCCTTATGATTAAAGTGATAAACATTTTTTTTGGTGCACTTGAAAACATGGTAATTCACTTCTGCTTAAGAATCAAGAGGACCCTGAGGCCAAGTCATGAGAGGAATGCCCACACACCAGTCATAAACATCCACAGCATTGAACTTGGAGTGAGAAATAAACTTATATTGTGTTAAACCACTGAGATTTTTATTTTTGTTTTTAACAGTAGCCACTAGTATGTCACCGATTGTCCTTTCTCCTGCTCTCATTTCCTTGATCCTATTGTCTTTCTTTATCATGTGAGTAGGTCTTTCCTTCTCTTTTATTTTTCTTTTTAAAAAATTTTATTGATTTCAGAGAGGGAGGGAGAGAGAGATAGAAACATCAATGATGAGAGAGAATCATTGACTGGCTGCTTCCTGCATGCCCTCCACTACCCCCCTTCCCCCCGCAGCGGGGATCGAGCCCACAACCCCAGCATGTACCTTGACCAGGAATCAAACCTTGGACCTCCTGGTTCATAGGTCAACGCTCAGCCACTGAACCACGTGGACCGGGCAGGTCTTTCTAATATAATAACCAGACCAAACTGCTTTTATTGGATTTGGGATTAAGGCCTGGACAGTGTTGATATAAATAAGCAGACTCAATGGATTTAATTAGGAGAAAAAGTTCAATTGATTCAATTTTTTTTTTAAAAGCATACGTGTTACATATCTAGGGCAATTTTTATTAAACAGCTGTAGTTTAAAGATCACATGAGAGTCTCATGGTAATTGTGGTAAATGCAGTTACCTCAGTGCTAGGGGTCCAGCAGATGTGCACGCACCCACCCTCAGGGGATGCGAACCAATGTGCATGGGCTGGGAAAGGGAGATCAGCCTCAGCTCCCGGCCAGCGATCTTCACGCGAATGGCACCGTGGCTGCCAGTGTGCAAGCGCAGACACTGTAAGTGTCAGGCAGAGGTCAGAGCAGGCCGGGAAAGATATTGGTGCTGCATAGGACTGGGTGAGGCTTCCAAAAGGATTAGAGTTTCAAAACGGCTTTAAAAAAGTCCCCCGTGAAAATGCCCGTCTGATTGTGTGGAAGCTGCTCTCTTGTCGACGGAGTGTGGCAATGAGCCCTCCCCCTTCTCTTCGTGCTCCAAGTTGGCGGCGCTCCAGCTGGGCTCGGCGACTCCCATTCAGGGGCTGTCTCAAGAGGAGGGCTCCAGGCAACTCATTCCAGATCTGACCAGAAAAGCTGACCCTCCAACCCTCGCCCCATGAGCTATATGAATGTTAACTCCCATCTTTCATGGGACAAGTATGTGAAGGAAGCCATCATGGTTCTGGTTAATCTTTTCTTTTTTTTTTTCAGTTCCTTCTATTATTCCTCCCGGGGCTTCTCTAGATCCTTCCCACCCTAATCACTACTCTCCAAATAAAACCCGATTTAGGAAGGCCCCGTAGAATCAGTACATTCAGAACTAGACATTATACCACTAGAGGCCCAGTGCATGAAATTTGTGCAAGGGTGGGGAGAGGGGAGGATGTCCCTCGGCCCGGCTTGCACCCTCTCGCAATTCGGGACTGCTGGATCCTAACCGCTCACCTGCCTGCCTGCCCAATTGCCCCTAACCCAGCCGTGGGCAAACTACGGCCCGAGGGCCGGATCCGGCCCGTTCGGCTGTTCTATCCGGCCCGCGGAGCCGAAAGAGCGGAGGGTTCTCTTGCTCTCCCCTCTGCTCCTTCACCAGCAGCAGTGTTAACATGTATTAGTTCACACAAACACTCCATCCATGCTTTTGTTCCGGCCCTCCGGTCCAGTTTAAGAACCCATTGTGGCCCTCGAGTCAAAAAGTTTGCCCACCCCTGCCCTAACCCCCCTGCCTGCCTAATCACCCCCAATTGCTTGCCTGCCTGTCTGATCACCCCTAACCACTTGCCTGCCTACCTGATCGCCCCTAACCACTCTGCCTTGCCGGAAGCCGGTCCATCCTTGCTGCTTGACACAGTCGCTGCAGGAAAGAAACATCTGCACAGCATATGTTTCAAGGGACCTGGCGTATATAGCATACTGTTCTTAATATGTTTGCTCCCCTTAGCGCTGTGTGTTTTAACCAAGGTCACCTCTCCAAGAAAGGTTGTTTCCCCAGGTAGGAATTTTTCCCTGAAGTCAGGGAGGGGATGCCTCTCCTAGAAAGGTTGTTTCCCCAGGTAGGAATTTTTCCCTGAAGTCAGGGAGGGGATGAAACTCCTTAACTAAGTGCCAGGCGGGTAGTTAATCACTACAAACAATCATGCTTAAGCTACATAATCTTTACTCCCTGGAATGGAGATAAGAAACGCCCTAACCTTTGGAATACAGATTGATAGGATTGGAATCAACTGGTATAAATACAGATGTAACAAGACAACAGGACTCAGAACCTAGAGACAGAACCTAGAGACAGAACCTAGCGAGAGAACATGGTAAAAGATCCTGGACTGAACCTGACTACAGAAATTGGCAAGAGAACCTGACTAGAACCTGGTGACTGAACCTGGCTGGAGAACCTGGACAGAACCTGGCTGGAGAACCTAACAAGAGAACATGGACACAGAACCTGGCTGGAGATCCTAACCAGAACTTTTCTGGAGATCCTGACCAGAACTTGGCTAGAGATCCTGGCTAGGCTGCTGATCAACTGAACATTGTCTCTGTGTCATTCCTTCTTCGCTGACTCCGTCCATACCTTTGGGGACCCCTGGACCTGCTGGGGTTGGAGCCCAGCACTGCCTGCCTGCCTGATCGCCCTTAACCGCCTCTGCCTCGGCCCCTGCTGCCATGGCTTCCTCAGGAAGGACGTCTAGAATGACGTCTGGAAGGTTGTTTGGCTGTCCAGTCTAATTAGCATATTATGCTTTTATTATAAAAGATGCATAAGATGTGAACAACACATAGTAGAGCCATTTTCTCCTTTATTTTGGACACTCAATGAATGGGCCTTACATTTCATTAACAGCCTCATCCTGTGTTGTTCCATATTGAGCTTGTTTGTCAGCTGAAGCTTTTACTCTTTCCTGGAGC